TCGTCACCATCGTGTAGTCAGAGGATCTCACTCCAAGTGACAAACAATGATGTGGACTAATCTTCCTATCGTTTTGGCAGTATGTCTTGTCATACTTGGTAGCAATGGTATGTTTTTAATTTTTTTTTATCATTAGCATTAAAAAAGTTATTACATATAAATTAAAATGAAATTTTTAATCTATTTATTTTTTTGTACCTTCCTTTTTTATACATACCATTTATTTTCTTACATGTGTATCAGTGCTTGGTCTGAAAGTTTCAGATGAAGTTTGAAAATAAGTTATAACTAAATTTTTCTATTATTAATCGACTATGGTAATTTTAACTTACGTCAAATAAAACTGAAGGTGCATGTGAAATATTTGATTTTTTTTACTTTCTTTGGGTAGAATTATTTTTTCGTCCCACGAAATTCCCACAGAAGTTCGTATACATTGAGCTACCAAAATCACGATTTTCAACTTAATATTACCAATGAGTTTACTGTACTTAGGCTTACATACATATTAATTTTAAATTATAAAACGAACATCCGCACACACACGAATAAATGTTTTCACTTTCTTTGCGATCACTGAGATCTTTGCGACTGCCCTGGCCATATACGCTTACGTGACAGAGGCGAATGCGATTTATCACAACAAGGACGCAGTAAAAGTTCAAATATTGAAAAAAACAGAAGAAAAAAAATAAGTAGGAAAATTACCTTTAACATTCTGGTTATTTTTATTCCAGTTGGCGGTTTGGAAACGGAAAACCTTCAAGGTGGTCACGATTCGGACAAAGGCGAAATCAAATATCAAGTTTCCCTTCAAAATGTAAGGCAACACTTCTGTGGTGGTACACTTATTACAGCAGATGTAGTTTTGACTGCAGCACATTGTTTTTACGATAAGAAAAAAAAGGTTTACTCTGATGATCCATTTTTTGTTGTCGCGGGAACAAATGACGTCCACGATCATACCTACAGGAGACGTGTAAAAACAATGTATATTCATAAAGGATACACAAGTGCCTATGACGATTACACTTATCAATTGTACGATATCGCCCTTGTAAGGGTAAGTACAAAATTGATACATTAAATCAATTGTAGCACTTTAGAAGAAAACAAACTGCAATTGACTTTTTTGTTTATTCTAAGGTTGATAAAGTATTCAATGTTGGTAAAAATTTTCCAATTGATTTGGCAAAGCTGCCACATAAACATGAAGACTTCGTGGGCAAAACTGCAAACGTATCTGGTTTTGGTTGGGATTACGCCGTGCGAACTGGTGAACAGAATCATACCGGTACCTCAAAAGGAAAACTGAGACAAGCATTTGTGAAAATTTTTGATGGAAGATATTGTACCACCGTTAAGACATCACTTATGCTCTGTGGTCGAGTGGAACAACACCCTGGATTACATTCAGGCGTCTGTCCGGTACGATATCACTATTTTTGATTCGACTAATAATAAATAAGTAGTGTCTGTGATAAAAAAAAAAACTGAAAGATGATATATTTACTAACGTATATTTACAAGTGATTAATTTAAAAAGTAATACCTACTTACATAAAAAAAATTTTTCTACTTAGTATTTGTTTTTACTTACAATTAATGCTCTCTCAATAATGAAAAAAGATTTGATGTCTAGTGAATATCCGACAAGGTATGTCTTGATCTTCTGTTAAATTATAATTTTTTTTTGTAAATATAGTGACTAGTAATAAAAAAATAGATATATGTATTTCTATTCACTATCTGTAGTACAAGGAAATAAAAAGTTGAAAAAAAATATTGCCATTCTTTTATTGCCACGTAGCAATTTTTTTTTTATATACCGACATTTTTGTTACCATTTAATGTTTTTAATTGCTCTGTTTGCAGGGCGACAGTGGTGGTCCTGTTTCCTTCGATAACAAAGTTATTGGAATCGTGAGTCTTGGAACATGGGGATGCGATGAATCAAAAGAGTATTCAGGGAGTACCAGAGTATCCGAGTTTTTAGATTTCATTAATAGTGTTTTGAACAATAAATATTCGAGTCACACGATAATTCGAAAAAACCTTTATTTAACATTTTATAATCCAGAAGAAAACAGGACAATTGTTACTAAATCACCTGAAGCAATTTCAGTAGTTAAAGAAATTCAACGGTTATATCCAGAATTGCAAACGCGAAGAGAAAAAAAGGATACGTGGGAGACGTTGTATAATAGAACCTTAGACGATTATAATAGCGAAACAAATGGTGATGTAAAATATGCTAAATATGACAAGACTCTTGAAATATACAACAAATATATAAGTGAAAAAAAAATGTATGACGATGTGAACGATAAGATGGATAATGTAAAAGAAAACTATAATAGATTGGTATTCGAGCAAAAAATATTATATGACGAGTTTTAAGCCTAAAAATAAAGAACGTCTCAAGTCTCACATCTAACATGAAATACTTGAGAATTAAAGCTTAATTACCTGCTCCTTTCATGTACACTAGACGATGTTAGGGGTTATTTCATAAGTGAAAATAGTATTATTGTAGGATATTAAAGAAAAAAAATTTTTAAATCCAAGAAGTGAAATTAAACAAAAATTTGCTGTAAATGCTGTAAATAATGTTAAATATTGAAAAAATCGGTCCAAGTTGTAAAACGTTGCTTATTTTTATCGATTGTAACGTTGTAAGGATTTATTGGTTTTTAACAGATGATTTTTCGGGCAATGGTTGCAACAAATTTCAAATACTAATAAGTAAAAGTATGAAAAAATTCACAGCGCAAACAAATCTTATTAAGAAACTTGGAGTATATGAAAAATGTTGTGGATTATCTGATTGTAATAAATTCATGCAAATTTATTTATTTATTTATTATTCTCCCTAAAACTAACACCTTTTGCAGACATTTACTTTCTACTACTTATCAAATTTTTTTTTTGTATCGCATTGGCAATACTATTTATTTACTACACCAACTCATACGATACGTTCGCTGTTCCTCCTAGTTTTACATCTAAGAGAAAAACATACGTGTTGAATGTTTTGACGAGTTACCGGATGAAGTCAATTCTTCCACGAAAAAAAAAAAAAAATTTCGTACCGACAACTAGAGCTCAAGTACTTAATACTAACATAATAAAGCATTAGAGTTCAACGTAGCCCTGGACTGTTCGAATCCATGCGGTTGAACTTTCGAGTTAGGGTTTATTTTTGAACTCATATCAGTTATTAACTGAAACGTATAACGTATACTCGCACGACGGAGAACAAAATCAAAGTAAATAAAAAAATTATTTTGGTACCCTCAAAAAACATACGAAAGGGACATGTCAACGCAAACGACCAATCATGTTAATGTAAGAGTTTGATATTGTATATTTACTCTAAGCTTATTACACGCTAAGATATATTATCAGTTATGACAGTGCTTTTTCCAATTTTACCTCACACCTTTAATAAATATATATAGTTGGGACTCATCTTGCAATCAATCGCAGTGCGTATTTAATGATATTTAATCTTCCTCGGAGATCTTCCGTGATGATGAAGCACATGATTTTTGTAGTCCTTGCAATCGTCCAAGATTGAGATTCGATTTTTCAATTACAGTGTACTTTTTGAGGATTAATGATCAATGGAGTAAAAGAAGAAAATTGAAAAAAATAACTCCTGTGCTCTTATGTAACTTGTACCAAATAAGATACGCACTTGGGGAGCAAAATCAAAGAATACCACAGACCGCGTGTTAATTAGTGACAGATTCGTAAACGAGGAAGGAAGTCATGCGATCTGAGGGATTCTTTATTTTCTTCCGAGATGTGCGAGCATACAGTTTCTTTGTCATACACCTGCATTTTGCACTAAAGTATAGGCAAAACGCAATAAAGTCGTGGTAATGTACGTTTTAACTCGCTAGTTTAACGAAACATTTGTAAAATTAAAAAATTCAAAGATTATTTTTTTAAAACGTGTAAAAGATTAAATACTCAATTGGAGATGATTAACTTATAAGCAAAATAATCTGCAAGAATACGATGAAATGGCGTACAAAAAGCATTTAAACTTGGGGATACGTTGTTCATAATAATTGTATTAATTTGCAAATAAATACAGCTTCATATCAAAAGTGACGCACAATCGTAAAGTTATTTTTTTTTCTTCTATTTTAAATGTCTTTTTTTTTTCCTTCGTTCTTTTTCGCTTCGACGACGTGGACGGCCATGCAGGTGAGTCGCTCAGACCGGAGATTCGGTACCCTGGGACGCATAGTACGCTCTTATCAACGTTATGGCTCCAAAAAATAGTAAACCCAGTCCCGAGATCACCATGCAGTAGCCATGCATATTTACTTCATTCATTTATATTTGTATGTGTATAATAAGTGTATTTAATCCACGGTATCCCGTGGGATTGTACAAATGACACACTGGCTCTTTTTTTCAATCTTGCTAACACTCACAAAATTTTTTCGTTATTTGGTGCTCGTTTGCATCTTTTACTCATATATCTATCGTATTTGTAACTATTTACTACTATTTTTTGCCTCACACCCATGCGTAGACTGCTAGTAAAGTCCCACTCACCGTGTAAGATAATATATAATGTCGGCAGTAAATAAATACCTTTTTGAATAATCAACTCTTATAAAAATCGGTTACAAGTTTTTTTTTTGTTTGCCTTTACTCTTATCTGTTTTTAACCGTCAAAATTTTGTAAATACCTACTTTTATATTTTCTGTATCACTATACGGTTAATCGTTTACACTTTAAAAATGTAAAAGAAGCATTTTTGTCTTTTTTTTTGTTACATAGTGGACAGTTTGTTTACAAATTTATTATATCACATTTATTTAGCCAGAAAACATCTCGTTCTTATTTGTATACAACTTTCTTATAAACTGGCAATGATTTTATGATCAAATAATCTTGCTCATTATGCTCCCAGTTTTACTAATTCATCATATATTGCCTTACACTTAGTTTTTTAAATGTTTGTCGTGTTGTTTCACTGACATGGCAAAAATTATACGATAAACTTGCAAAATTACCTGGAGTTATTTTGATGATGGGACAACAATCCTCTCAAGGGTACTTACTTCGCACAATTATTTTATATGACTTTTATAAAAAGGACTCATGTATTTATTTGTATAAAATATTTCGAGACACGCTTTAATTAATTGTCGACTGTAATCACTCGAATATTTTTTTCCGCTCATGCTCTCCTGTTTGCACGCTCACTATTGCTCATTCCCTCGTTATCTTCAGTTGCTTACCCAAATTCATTAAAACTTCGTTTTTTTTTTTTCCCCGTTGTGATAAATCTACTCAAGGTTTTTTTAGTTGCATATGCCAACCGTGTATGCTTGAATTATTAAATAAATAGATTATAAGACAAGCACGGTAAAATTTTGGAAAATCAAGATTTTGAAATTTGCTTATTAGTTTGCTCAAACCGCTTGAAACTGTTCGAAGAGCTCTACAAAGATGGATAAAGATATATATATATATATATATATGAAGATCGCTTAGAACAGGTCCCTGAGCAACTCCAGACGGGATGGGCGAACTAATCTATTACGAGTTGTAAAACACGTTTTTAAAATGGAATCACGTAAGTTACGCGACTTAGTTGCTTATAATTCATGTACTAGTAAAACAAAACAAAAAAATAAATTAATAACCAAAATTTACTTGAATAAGTTGATTTTTCATAATTTCAGTCTACTTTTAAATTAAAATGCAAAAACGAATAGCATATGCTCTTCTACGAATTTTTTTCTTTTCTTTTTTTTTTTTTTAGTACCATGAAAAACTAAGGGACGATTCAAATAGTCCCTGATTCACAAAAAATAAATAATTAAAGCTTTTACTTCGAAAAGGTGACACACAACTTATTTTAATGTATGATAAAAAAATGTTAGTTTTAGGCGGCAACTCTAAATATTTATCGACGACTCGACGTGTGTAAGTGATAAATGAAATGTTTAAATTATCATAGTTGTACTTGTTTGATTCTGTTGTCTTCTTAACACAGATTTTTATTTTATAAAAAAACGTAATCACAATATCAGTTTATCTTTCAAAATATCAGCAGATTAATTTACAAATGCCAATTCAAAATTCGCTCTTGATCTTAACTATGTAATATTAATATAATACAACTTTATTCTGTTAAAAACACATATTCTAGCACATCTGTATCGCTTAAATTCCTGCTCCGACGATTCCATTTAATGTATTAGTCTTTCATACTCGTTTTTCTTAGATGTTTTCTCACTCATGCCGCAGTTACCACATTCAAAAATCATACTGGACTTGACACTTGTACCAAGCACTTTATAGACATAACAAGAAGCAAGACATTAAAAAATGTGTATTGTCGGTCGTTACACTTGCTTGTTGTTTACTTCTTTTCGTTTTTTGTTGAGCAATAGAACTTTGACGCTAGAGTTGCCTCGTGTGTCATAATATGGAGACTCGTGTACTCTATGTTCACGTGATCATAATAGTCAATTATCTATTGCATTCATCCATAACATCTTAAACACTCACAGAATAACATCAAGTTCTTTCATTAGTTGTACGATCACTTGTTTACTTAACATTTTTTTCTCCCAGTAAACTATCATTCTTAGAGTAAGAAACATGGTTCAGTCGTAAGTATACACAAAATCGTATCGCCAAGCAGGTATTTCACATTTTTACCCACAACATAAACTTCATTTTTTCATTTTTAAAAATCCTATAACAGATAAACAAACAGTCATCTCATTTGTTGGTACCCTTTGTAACAACGGGCAATTAGATATATTTTACATTTTTATCATTTTTTTTTTCTTTCCTTAAATTTCGTCTTTTATAAACGTATTTTTAGTCGTAAAGTTGGCGTACTTAGTAGTGGCGATAGGATTGGTTGTAGGCATAGAAAACGATAGTACCTACAGCAGAGCGTCATTTGTTCTGATGTACAAAATAGGTTGACGTGAGCTCTTTGATGGATTGTTCAGTCCTGCATTTCCTCTGGTATGTCATGAGGATTAATAATGCCTGGCACTGCCATTTGTTGTCCCCTCTTTTCTTCCTGGGCTTCTCGTAGGGCAGTTTCTCGTTCTTCCAAGAACAAATCAGAATCATCTTCACCGGTATATTCCTAGAAGATAGATTTATATTTTTAATCAAAAACACGTTTCAGTAGGAGATTTAGAATCCCCATTAGTTACATTTAAGTATACTCACTCTAATTTGGACAAGGAAATCTCTCAAATGTTCTTTGAAAGCTGGAATATTCTGATTAAGATTAAAAAGACCCTGGACAGTAATTTTAATTTGATTGTCTGATAAATGAGGAAACGCTGTCTTAAGCAAGCTGGCTACATATTCTTGAACATATAAAATGTTGTCCGGGATGTTTGGAGGGCCTAATGGTACCGTAATTCTTTTCATTTCAACTAAGAAGAACATGTATGCCAGAATGTTTGCATGCATGGTCAAACCTGCAGAAAAATAAGTTGTGTAAAATGAAGAAAAATGTGTGACATTATAGCAACATGGAAAGTGACTCACTAGCTTTATGTGATGTATCTGTGACAACGCTGAATATATGCTGAAGAATATCTATAAAATATGTTTGATAAAAGCTTTGGGCAGCTTCTTCATGTTTTTCCATATTTAGGAATAATTGGTACAAAATCTGTAAACCAGTTTCGGCAACATTTCTCATGGTGTGTTTAAATGCCCAAATAACAGAGTCGAGAACTAATTTAAACTGTATTGGCTGTATTGATAGACACGCTGAGAAACAGTGAGCATTTACTGCCTAAAAGAACATTAAAGGAAATCAGTATATTTTTACTATTAAGCAAACTAATATAATAAATTAAGTGCAATAAATATGACATGATTGTTAGTATAGTAAAAGATTTTACCTGCAACAGCAAGAAAAAGTTTGTCCTGTGCTCTGGATACTCCTCAAAATCTTTATTAATCATGTCCAGCGTACATTCAAATACAGCCTCGAAAATCTTGGTCACCTCAGGGGTTATGCGATCTTTCAGTTCATTCACAATCGTTGCCATTGCACTAAGCACTTCGGGCTCTCTAGCACTAGGGATATTTGTTTTTTGATAATCTAACAGCACAGCATCCAATAGTGGCGGTATAAAATTATCTAAAACCTTGCGTAAAAAAAAAAAAATTTTAATAAAAAAAATTTGTTAAAAAAATTTAACTTGTTTACCATTTGGTGGTCGTTTGACCTACTAATCCAATCTGCAATCAATTTAAGTGTTTCTTTTTTGACAACCCTTATATTTTTTATTAGTGGCTGTTTCGTGACTGCTTCTCCATTCAAAGTTATAGCAGCACATATGTTTTCACTCATTACCTGAAGGGAACAAACGTATTATCTTAATTTCACGTTTCGATTAAATAAAATTAATGCAAGTCATGAAGTAGAAGAAAAATAATTTACCTTGTACACATTCAACATATCTAAGTATATTCTTCCTAGTTGTAAAACGTAGGGATGTCCTAATGCCTTACAAGCCCTGACATTAGTTTTTAGAATACTAGCAAGCTGTTTCACCGCATCGGGATCTTTCAGTATATCAACGTTCTATGATTTAAATATATACCAGTTAAAAACAGTTGGGGTGAACATAATATGTCAAGTCTTTACATTTCCATTACAACATACCTTTGCTGCTTGACTGATAATATCATCCCAGACTTGATTGGGGAGGAGCATGTACTTTTCTATCAGTTGTTCTTGCTGTACAGAATCTACTTCGGCACTGATCATATAGCCTACTGCTTCATAAAATGTGTGTACCTAGTGACATTGATTATTGTAAATATTACAAATACTCAAAGGAATTGTAGATATCTGTTGAAAGTTTATCATACTTGCTGTAATTGAAGATCACAAATGATACTGCTGATGTTAGTCAAAATTTCCTCTATAAAAGGCATAGCTTCACCAAGCTGAACCGTCACAAAATGCCTTCTACATTTTATTGCGATTTTGATAAAAGTATCGCAAGCCATATCTTGCACACCCTGATGAGTTTCTGGAAATTTGTTTGGAATATAATTTTTTGGCTTAATTCCATGTCGATAGAAGGTTTAATAAAGGATATTTAAAATATTCTTACCATGCATGAATTCAAATAGCTTATTAACAACAGTTTTCAAGAATTTCCAGTGTGCCTTCAAAAATCGTGGATACTGACCAACTACGTACATGATGTTACTCGCAATGATAGCTTTATTACCTTTGCCCTTTTTTTGTTCGCACAATCCAAGCAAATCTTTGATAACTGTCACTAAAAATCTTTTTTCATCTTCTTCATGCATTGCTCCAGAAATACTACCGATTGCCCAACACAATGTGTTAAGATTCTTCCAAGACCATTCAGTACCATTAACTTGATTTTGTAGTTTTTCAGTCATCACTCGTTCAGTATCAACATAATCAAGGTGAGTCAAATAAACCAAAGTCTCTCTCATGTTTTTGTACAAGTTGATCGAATCGGTATCTTTCATGAACTCTCGGACTACTTCTCCATTTTCGTTTTCAACAACAAGCACTTCTTCTGGTTTGGCCATCCTACTGATCATGATGTAACGAACTTTTGTCAAAACTTGAGAGTAAAACTTCCTTCGTGGTGGTACATTCACAGTCTTAGTCATGAAAATTGGTGAATTTGATACGAATGGATGCTCTTTATAAAGATCTGCAGCAAGTTGATTCCAGTATTCTAAACAGATCTTGAAGATTTCTATTTCTTCGACCTCAGAAATCATTACCAAATAATTCAATGCATGAAGTAGAACTTCGTTCAACTGTCTTTTTTCTACAAGTGCTCCATGTTCTTTCAAGTAAGTGCACAAAAACATTGCTAAATTCTGTATAAAAATTTGTTCCTGATCATGACCAGCGGCGTAAGCATTGCGAATGTTGGTGTCCAGGGGTAACATTAGTACCAATTGTTGCATTGTGTGTAAAAATAGTACAATAAACTTCTCGTCATAATTTGTCACAGTCACACCAGCAATTTCAGTCAAACAATTCAACGTGACATTTCTAAACATTGGAACGTTCAAGAACTGAAATAAAATTATCAAATTAAAAAATTTCAAAAACTCAATTCAAATGGTTAAAAAAAATATATATTCTGATGTCTTACTTTAAGTATCAAAGTGTCGATAAGTTTTGTTTCGAAAATGTATCCCAATGGAATCCAATTCAAAAATTTCAAAAGTGTATGCAAGGTTTTCTCTACAAGGGCTGCATTTTGAGAGTTGTCCATGACAAATTGACAGAGCTGAAAAACTTGTGAAAACTCTGTACACATTGTATCTTTCAAATGTCTGGCCTTTGTTTGAGTCATCTGTCCATTAGAAAAATCAAAAACTTCCTCTGACAACAGCCTTAGAATAACCATGTTGTTTTGACAAAGGCTTTCATTTGTTTTACTGGCACCCACAATGTCACCAATGAAAGATTCCCAATTTTTCGGCCATTCTCGTTTCAGTACCTGCAGAGTATATATTCCAAAATAAATCCATGTGATTATATCAATGTTTAGAAAAGTAAATGGAAGATTTCAAGAAAATTACTTGAACAAGAATCATATTCAATTTATTGAGATAAACTTTGGAAGCTTCAAGTGATTCCGGATCACTGCTTGTTTTGATGATCAAGCCAACAATGTACTTTTTAATTCCTTCACACTGATTTCGAGGTAAAACTTTCCATCTAGTTAGTATTACTTGTTCCAAAATTTGTAAGGCATAAAATTTTGTTTCTTGATTCTAAAATAAAATTGACATGTTAATACTTTGATAAACATGTAAGCTGATATGGAGGGAAAATCATCAAATCTATTACTTGCGAGAACTCCAATATTGTATCTACTCTTGTCCAAGCATCTGGATGCTCCTTAAGTGTTGTCAGCACTTCTTGTGCCACTCTTTGCTGGTCACCAATCCCTGAGTACATACAGCCTACCACATTGTCAAGAAGAGTAATATCCAATTTCTGGTTGAAATCCAGTAATTTGGATGCTTGCTCGGCAAGAGTTGCCATGTTTTCAAGTTACTTTTGCAGATTTAACACTCCAGCTGAAAGACCCCACAGAAAAGTAATTAGTATAATTTTCTATGCAATGATTGTAAGTGTGGGAAAGATTTTTGAAAAATAATATTAAAACGGGAGGATACATGGTACTGAATTATAATTTCTGGTTATTAGAATTTGGCTCAAGTTTTCCATGATAACGTCACACTGTAATTCAGGTCAAATTAAAGTAATCGGAGGGTAGTACGAACAACGTAGTAAAACGCGTGGAAAATTTTTTTCGTCAACCCACCAAAGATCATAAAGCACTGATTTTGTCTTACAATAAAATAAAACAAAATATTTTACAACTGCAGGAATACACAGAAGAAGCTCGAAGCGGCCTAAAATGCAGGATTATACCAAGAACGTACGAGTTTTTTAAAACACGACGTTTCTTTCTTGAAAATGACGAGGCGAACCTAACCTAAGCGTTAACGACGACGGTGACGACGAATACAAGTACAAGACTCCTATTTCGAACAACAAAGCGAGTATTCAATTAGAAAACCTCAACTTGCTCGTTAAGAAGCTCTCGGCTGATTCAACGACCCTCTGCAGTGATATCTGCAACAGGGAACCGAAGAAGGACTGGCGATACTTATTCCTTAATTTCTTTTCCTTCGGTTGCACGTTTCCCCGAGAAGTGAGAACACTAGAAAACGCGCGGGAGATGCGTCTTTCCGTTGCACGACTTTTGGTTGTTATCAATTTTCACACACGCGACAATCTCGTGGGTTAACATACCTACAAACAAACTAACCGAAAGATAGGGTAGCTTAGGTATACCCATTACCCACGTACTTGAATGCAGAGTAGGGCCGGTAAATTAATATTGAATTCCGAAATGTAAGTACTAAGTAAGTATATATGTTATAATTGTATATAGGAACCTAGGAACCTACTCACTGTCGCGTGTATACTTATAGGTACGCAGTTCCTTTCCGGGCATTCGATTCGGCATTCGGGCTCTTCTCTCTCTCTCTCTCTCTCGAGTCTCGATACACGGCGACGGCACACGGCACACATATATACACACTCCATAGGTATAGGTACCTATACCGTCGCAGCGCGGATAGTCGCGACTCGCGACACGAGCGTCTTTCATATAAAGGCGCTTTAAAATAAAGTTAACGTTCGCACGTGTAAGCATACGTGTATACATATTCTGTATTGAATGATTATGGGTACATATATTTATTATGGATATTAAATTAAAGGGCTACGTGTATTCATATTATGTCTTGTAATTGTACTTGTAAAGTGAGGGCTTTTTCGTAATCTGCGATTAATGAAAAAGTATAGATGCGCAATTACTCCCTTAGAAAAAGTCGACTGAAAACTTAATTGACTTGAATGGCGAATCTTGGTACCAATTTTGACATTTAAATACTACCACTCGTTTGATTAAAAAAAATGTATATAGTTAAGTGATCTAGATGTAAGTTGAAATTTTAAAACTTTCTGTAGAAAATTTTCACAAATTTTCATTTATTTTATCTTCAATCAATCGCACTTTAATTGACATCAAGTATTAAAACTAATTTCAATCGATTTTCCCCAATATGCGGTATGTAATTGTAATAGATGGTTTTAAAGAAGCAAATATTAATTAAGATGAAATCGTTACTTTTTTTAAAAAGTTTTCCACAGAAATCGTGTAAGAGTCTTTACGTTACATTGCTGCTTACCCATCTCTCGCGGACAATGAATGCTCTCTCGCGCGGTCAATTTTAATGATTGTTGGGTCTTTTAATTTTCCACTCGTCTACGGGAAAGCTAAGACCGAAATGAGTACTTGTACCTAATGTACTCAATATGCGTAAAGCACGGTTGGAGGCTAGACTATTATTCTCTCGGTTTTTATTTTTTATGCATGTACTGGCACTGTATTGTACCATATATTTTGCGTCTGATGGCACAAATAAAAAGCAAAAAAACGGGAGTTTGGTCGAGAAAAATAAGTGCACTGGAAAAGTAGAAGAATAGCTAGATTTTAATGACATGACAACACCTGACAGTGGTCCATCCCTTGTAAAGAGCATTTCCCGCGCTTGTAGTAAAGACACATGGAATTTTCATTACGTATACCTATGTATGTGTACCCGTTTTTCACGCGCATGCACATTGCACTGCACTCCCATTACTACTCCCATAGGTATATAAGTATTGCCATATAGAAATCATGTATAGGTACTCTCGCGCTTGTTCACCATTCTCACTTATATGACGATATGCAGATAAACTTCACTCTGATAATACCCACTGGTGTGTTTTATTTTTTATTGGAAGATTTTTTTTGCTTGTCACATCACATACTTATCTCTCTGCATCATATCATTTTTACTACTTGCCTCGACGAGTTCTCTAAATAGAAAAAAAAATTCCACACATTCTTGTACCATAATTTTTTATCATTTTAGATTTCCAAAAATTGATAATAGGAAATTAATTTGCAATTTTTAACATGATCATCCACTGCAACGAAAGAAGCGAGATTGAACTTGTTTGAGAAATTTAATTACCATCATGAATCATGAACAAACGATTAGCCCAACTCCTGCAGGGTACGCGATATTGAAAACAAACAACATAAAATAAGTTCTAAGTGCACTTATACGTACACTCAAAGCTTGAAGCTTTTCTTAGCATTGCACCAAATAGAGATACAAAAAAAAGAGACGCTGCACCGAAAATGCACTGACCCACACATACACACCGGAGGTACGCGTCGCGCGGGTAACCTCACTTTTTCCCTCGGCGAAGGCTTTCCCCGTACTCTGCATAATCTCCTACACCGAGAACCGTCACCACAGGCCCACAGCGGACCGTCTCTTTATACTGGAAAGAACAGGAGGGGGGAAAACGGGGACGCGTACTACTTGCAAACTCTCTCTGCGAACCTCCAGGCTCGGATCCACCGTTAACCTCGAATCTGTAATTCTGTACACTGCACCTATATGCTTATAAAGCCAGCAACAAAGGGCCATACTAAAAAGAGACGGAAGAATGAACAGCAGATAGGTGTATAAGGCAACAGGGGTAGGTGGATGGATACATACAGTCATATATACATAACAAAAAGGGAGAAAAAACGTTGCATACAGAGGGCACAATGCTTATCATCAAAGAGTAATCATGGACCATGAAATTGCGGGAGTTTTCTTTCGAGTGGTGCTTTACTTATTAATAATTATGTGAGAATTCAGTATAGGCTCTGCGCTATTTTAAAAATTTTTTAAAACATAGATTCAAATGTTATTTAGGTTTTAAAAAGTAAATCCGCAGGTAATTTGTATACTAAAGTATAGGTATATAGGAGAGGAGGCTCACCTATACAGGAGTTTGTAGTGTCGTTCCTCCTTGGGCCTGCAGCAAGATAATCGTCCTGTCTTCTTGTCGGTCCCCGTTGAATATCATACGAGTGATGGCCACCGGTATCGCAATCGTATATATCTAGCAGATAGGTATACAGGTAAGTGGTCGGTGCTCGTGTCGCGGGGCCGGCACGTCGTCGTCCTGGATATCGTAACTGCAGCCGTCGTCGTACCAGCGGCTGCCGCTGGCCCTTTGGTATCGGTTATTCTCTATACTCTCACAAGCACTTTTATTCGAGCATTAGGTATACATGTATATTTGTATATATATATATATATATTATTTCCTCGCATGGGAATTGGGAAATGGCACACGCACACACACAAACACACAAACACACCATACACCAACCAGCACGTATACTCGTTTGCCTTTCGATTTTCGACCCTCAACAACAACAACAAACAAACACACAAACCGAGTGCTCTTTCTCTCAATTTTAATCCCTTTTGCAATTGTCCAGCCAGCCAAAACACAATTTCTTTGCACACACACGTCACACACTCTCGGCACTCGCTCTCGATTCCGTCTTCCGTCCGCGTCGGTCGTCGGTGGTCGGTCCTCGTCGTCGCCGTTGGTCCGTCCTGTGTGTGGATAACTGGATAGGCGGTATTATATATATACATATTTATAGTAAATATATTTTAGTGCTAAGGGTGGGGGTAAGGTAAGGATAGGTAATATGCGCCGCAAAAACTCTCGCAACCGCCTCTCTCGTCGCTCTCTCTCTCTCACGAATAATGCTATCTCTTTCTCGTCCACGCGTCCGCAGTCTGTATGGCCAAATAAAAAATACACCTCCCCCCTCTCTCTCCTGCTGAGTCCGGTCACTCGTCACGTGTAGTCGTCACACGTAAACTTTGTCTACTTATTGTATAGGTATAAAAAAAAAAAAAAAAAAAAAAAAGAAAAAAAGAAAAAAACAATAATATACACAAACGCCATATATATATGCACACCAGCCCATGCACCCTCCATGAAATGCCATGCATGCACAATTGCACAGGCCCGTTGCACCCCGTCGTTCGCGGGGTTTGCAATCGCGGGGGATCCGCAGCGCAGTCGCCCTCGCCGCGAGATCACTATGTATATGACGATAATGACGATTGTACCTACCTCTTCTTTTTATCATTCGATCACATTTTATTCCTCACTTATATTGGGACACACTATACAACACATTTTTACTTCTAATCATCATCTAAGTTTGTACATAACACACAACATAAATGTATTCTCACTTTCTCCGCATTCGTGAAAATCACTAAAATTCGTGATTAAACAAAAATTATACGAGTGCGTAATATGCGATTGCCAAACTGAAAAACTGCACTTTAAATACATTTAGTACATTTTATGTTACTTATACCTAGTATATGTACGTTTGTCAGTTGACGTCAAACTGATGCCACGTGCGGGAAAATCCACGTGAGCGAGCGAAAGGGGAAGGGGGTGGAAATTGCAAAAAGGAGGTGAATGGATGTATGTACATACGTAGTGTGTATATATTATATTGTAATGTAAGTATATCTTTATAATAATGTCCTTGGTCATTTTCAATTGACTCAGCCAATTGTTACATTATTTTTGCGTACATATAGGGAGTGCATATATTTTTTTATGGGGATCCCATGCGTATATATGCCACCCCCAATATATTTTCTGATATTGGTATGCATGTATGAGTACGTGCTTGAGTCGCTGATTATGATTTATTCCACAGTAATAATCAAATGGATTATTTATGTTGTAACGATACAAGGTAAAATATTGTTGTTGGCTCAATCTTCTTAAATAGACGTTGCAAAGAAATTCTTAGCGATACGTGTACCGAATCTTTCTTAAAAGCATATTTGTTGGTAACACGATTTTAAGACGACGAATCACGTATAATTTTCATTCAAGGGCGTACATGGACTTGAGTTTTAGTATAGGTGTATAAAATAATTTTGTCTTCATTGTGGATCAGTAGGATGGAAAGTACATATATTATTTTGCTTTTTTTTAAATCCATTGTAGCAGTTATTTTCACTTATAACGTTATCGAGACATGATGATTTTTGTTTTTTTGTTTTTTTTTTTTTTGTTTATTCCAAAAGTTAAAAAAAAAATAAAAAAAGATATTGAAGAAAAAAAAAATTGGTGGTACACGTGGATGGTTGCGCTTATTGAGTTTGGTAGAAAAATTCAACGCACTCTTGAAAAAAAAGCATTACAGAGCCTACAAAGTGTACAGTCGACATTTCATCATGAAGGTGATAAATAGTTTATTCACATTAATGGATGTGTGATTAGGACTACTTTTACATTTTTTTACTGATAAAAAGCTGCGATAACTATATATTTTACTGGATAGCGACGATATCGATTTTGTTGTGCATCTTACATATATTGCAGCAATAAGTGGTTATTGTCCTGCTGAAAAATAAGGAAACTGACCAATGTAGTGATGAACTATAGTATTACTTATAAAATAACAGTCGAAAAATGATTCAAAATTCTCGAAATACTACTACAAGCTGATAGAAACCACTCATTTGTCAATAAGCGGTAAATTGGTTTTACATTGTTTTTAGAAAAAAGTTGTAGTAATGAGTGCTTCATTGAGTAACTATAGATTTATAAACTTAATTTCAGCCCTTTCACAATGTAATTGAAAAAAAAAAAAAAACATCCGACAATAACATAATGTTTGACATGATTGTCACCTCGAATCATAGATATATTTATATAAACTTCAAAAGTGTCCGTAAAGTAAATCTTGTTTTCATTATAATCACCTCGTTAATCACCACAAAAAGTTCCAACCGCGCCTGAAATTCGTTTTGAGCGCTCAGATGAGGCAAGTACTAGCTGTTTCAAAAATATCGACCAACGGCTCAACTCCGTTGTACTACTTGAGAAAAAAATATCAGTCGACATTGTTTTCGGAGTCGAGCGTCATCATCTGTTGTTGGCGGACGACAGCTCTGCTTTGACAGTTTTGTGTTTATGTATATCCTTCGACTTTCCTGTGTCGGCAACAATCATATACCGTGCTTTAATTGTATTGTATAAGAGAAACATAGGGAAAAGGCCAGTTATGAGCCATGTCGTGTCAAATTAAAGGGATCGCTAACCTGGTGGATCCCAGCGACGTCAGGGCTCGTCTTCTGGGCAACGTTGTTCACAAATGTGCGTGCATATTGTCTACAGTTCTTTTTCCATTGTTTTTCTTCATCCACCCACTAATCAACGAATAGTTGTTTTTACCTGTACGTAATCTAAAGGAGTTTTTTCATTCTAGTTGAACATATACCTGCCAATGAATTGCCACTGCAGAATTGCTTCGTCTCACTATCTCCAGCTGGAGATATTTTAGCTATTGCTTGGAACACACATTTAATCATACTAGCTTGTGAGTGACCCTTGCTTTTTTTAATCTGAAAAGAAAAAAAAAAAGTTTTTTTAAATACCTACAGTACAATACCATACACTGTGTACAAACAATGATAATAATGTAACATATTTATCTTATTTTCTTCTCAGCTAAATGGGATTCACGAGAAAGTAGTGAATTAAAAAACAAGTTTTACGTTGTTTGGGACGGTGATGTAACAACTGAACAAAAGTAAACAACAATTTTGTCATACTTTTTTTCGTTATTTATGTCATTCTACTTACACAAAATTGAAATTTTTGCTCAGCGAATGGATAACGTCTGTGATAACTCTTCCACTCATTTCTCATGGGAAATCCAGTGCTGGTGTCGACTGGACCTGTGTAGCTGTAGGGTTGAATACTGGATTTATTAAATTTTTTACAGAAGTAAGTTACACAGCAGTACTTTTCAAATTTCGCAGCAATAAAATTTAATTTTTCATGTTATTATTTTAATTTCAAAGACTGGAGGGTTGTTGTTGGAGGAACAGTTACATAATGAAAGTGTTATCAACATTAAATGTCAGTCACATTGTACAGCAAGATATAAAGGCGATGCTGGAACTTTGGAAGACTTTTATGTACTGTATAATACTGTTGTGTGTATTTTACCAGGATTTTCTTTGTTTTCAACTCTAAGGGCCTACAGAAATCACTTAGCTCGAGGTAGGTAACAAAAATTTAATGAAAATATCTCATAAATAATCAATTAATTTGATTTTTAATTAACCCCAGTCAAGGCTAACTGTAACGACAAGTCTCCAGCATCAAATTTAGCTTGTAAAAAGTGGACTTTTAAAAACCAAGATTTTGTCAATGATTGTGAAGTGATTGGTTCAACTTCTGTGAATACGTTTGATCATTTGATGACAGCATCGATATGCGGGGGTTACAATGCAAGTTATAGGTCAAGTGCACCACAACACAACTTAGTTATGGCCACAGGTAAAAGACCATTTGTAGGTTTTCACTATGCCTTGGAAGGAGGCTCTACTCCAGTTTTATCAGATGTTGCTATTGCAATGGCTAACAAAGTAGCTAATGCCATTGGAGCTGCCGTTCCGTAAGTGTTTCGTTAGAAAAATGAATGGGTTCAAATAAACTATTTTCATTTATCTTGTGTGTTAATATTCATATTATATAGGTGGTTTAAAAACTCAAAAAATCCTCCTACTCCAGAAAAAACAAAAAGTGTTGTGACTGAGCCTCCAGAATCCATGACTTGTCGATTTGGTATTAGTGACGTTTTGAGGGAAGGTGATTGTATACTAGTTAGTCCTAATAAGTTGTTATCTGTTGTTTGTGATGCCATGGGTAGAGTAATTTTACTAGACAATAAACAAGGAATTGCAATTAGAATGTGGAAAGGTTATAGGGATGCTCAGTGTGGCTGGATAGTAGCTAAAGAAGAGAAGCTCAGATCAACTTTAAAAGATCATTACAGCAAAAGTGGCTCGAGTAACTGTCAGAAACGACGCAGGGCTTTATTTTTAGCAATTTATGCTCCAAAAAAAGGTGTCATTGATATATGGAGTGTACAGTATGGAACGAAAATAACTACATTTTCTGCCAGTAAAAATGGAAGGTAAAAAGTTTTTTTTTTTTTAAATGAAATTAAGAAATATTCTCACAATAATTTAAATATTGTGCCATCAGGCTTCTTTACATAAATTATGGCTTATGCGGGTTAAATGATTCAGCAATCACTTCTTCTAATCAAGCTCAGCATCCTTGTGTTTTTATCGATCCACTAGGAGAAATCAGAGAAATCACTGTTCCATTTCATTTTGCACTAAGCAATCAGAATAGCAATAGAGCTCGAGACATGCACTTGCATAAAAAACTGAAAAAATTTTTGAGAGAAGAAGATTTTGACAATGAAAAATTGATAAACGAAGTCACTAATATTTGTCTAGATTTAAAGACTAACGAAGTTCGATTCCAAACCATAGATATGCTTATGACAAATAAGCATGTGACACCTGATGCCCTTCTTTCTGCCATTAATTGTTTTACCAAACAGATTGAATTACAAAGTAAGTATATTATTTATACATTATTTTTTCTGACTTTTGTTTATTTCTATTTATTTATTTATTCATTTTTTTAAATAATTATCTGTTCATCATTTTAATTATAAATAAATGAACAATAAATCTGACGATTTTGTACAATTTTCTTGAAAAGAAGAGGGTGATTTGGAGCCAGAAACGAAAGCTTTGAATTTGACGTTAAGTCAGCTTAAAAGCGTAACAAAGTTTTATAAGTACTTGAGATCTCAGTACGATCAACCCCCTGAGTACAACACTGTTGCCTCGGACACTGTGCCTGATGGAAAACAGTTATCTTCCATATTATTCACATCTGAAAGGGAAATAACCAGGATATTGAAATTATCAAAAAAATTAGAAAACATGAAAAACGCAAGTTCGAAAGTTCAAACTAAAGTCAAATTTAAGGAAGTGGGCAGAACGTTTCTAGATTTTTTGGCTTGTTTTGAATTTGGCTCAACAGGTTTCTTAGGATTGCAAAAAGATACCAGCCACGATAAAATTTGTCAAATTTGTAAGTATGCCGTGAGAAACACTGAACCAACAGTTTGTATCTTATCTCGAATTAATATTTTTAGCAAAATTAATATTCCAAGGATGGATGTACTCGAACGATCCGATATCAAAATGGCAAAATTATGCCCTAAATAGTGATATAAAACCATCAGTATTGATGCAGTTTGCTCTTCACTATTGGTTAACTAAAAAAACGGGAGCACCTCTGGAAATTGAAATGATAAATTTCACAAAACTTCTCAACGCCATTTGTTCTTTGACAGGTAAGTATTTTTTAACAAGTACAAACATTGCAACTTTATAAGAGTAATTTTTTTCTTAAACTTGTGTTGTAAACATGCAGATACTGAAGAAATATATGCGAGTTACAACGAAGTCTCTACCTGGTGGAAAGATGTCCAAAATATCCTCATTCATTCAGAGTATCCGTTTAATGCATTGACTGCTGCAATGGCGTGCAGAGCAGTGTCAGTCAACATCCAAAGGAATAAAGATCGATTAGTTGCCAGTTTCAAAGATGATAATGGAAACGACAAAGAAGATGACAAAAATGGCAATAAGTCGGGGTCAATGAAAGAGGACAAAGAAAAAGACGACAATTCGTCACCCGAGGAAGAAACAATCGGTAACATAAGCGATTGGGAAAACGTGAGCCGAGATGCTTGTCAATTCTCTTTGCTGATCGGTAACTTGGAAGATATAAGCATATTGAATGCGATAGTGAGGTAATTCACGGATATACCGAATAAGTTTCAAGCATTACATGAATATTCATTTTTTTAGCAATCCACCAAAATTGGATGACACTACGAAATTTTACGCTTTACCGTATGAGTCGACGCCTATTTCGTTGGGTCTTATTCTTTCCAAAGGGAAAGGTAAATATACAAAAAATTATTTTCATAACTCTGAACGTTCGCGAAAAAATAAACGACGTTTTTTAGGCTTCGTATCGGAAATAGTAGCAAAGTGGCTTAGCTCGTCGGGTGTTGACCCTGCACGATTGATAGACACGACTGACATAGAGTTCGATCAATTGCAACTATCAACAGATTCCTCCAAAGCTCAGTCCTTAATTGAAGCCAAAGCCGTGGAATCGATACAAGATACCAAAGCTGTGCTTGCGGTTTCAATCGAAGTTGGCACTGAAGCAAAGACCGATCAAAGTGCTGTCGCAACTGTATTAGGTAAGCTCAATGATTTCAGGAAATTCATTATCAACGCAAAATTTTTTCTAAAAAAAAAAAAAAAAAAAAAAAAAAACAATAATTTACAGAAAAAGTGGCACTGCTCAAGCGAAATTTTTCGTATAGTCTAACGAGTAGCGTCTTACTCGCAAATTTGTCCTGGGAGTTCGTTATGAGCTGGAGCAAAGATATCCAACGCCTAGATGCTTTAGAAGCTGCTCTCACAGTATTACGTCAAATCCCGTCCAAGCGCATACGCCATGGAGTTTGTTGTCTTCTCTGGACTCTTCATTTGAAAAAGAGAATGGAAAGTGCTGGAAAGCTAATCAACAAATCGGGAAAACTTCCAAAAGAGCGGCTGTGCATGCAAGACGTGGGGCTTTCGGATGTCCAATTGACCTCATTCTTGAAGCACTGTGTCACATTTTTAGATTTCTTTTTAGAGGTATGTACGTTTTTTTTCAACGTATGGTAATCGTCGTTTCTGCGAATGCAATGATTTTGTGCCTAGGCCGAGGCGTTGGAAGATGAAAATTGTTCCTTCATTAAATCGGAAGAATTGTGGGAAGGTCACTCCAATGGACCGTTGCCTTTTGCACTTTTGGCAGTCACCCAGTCCCCAGCATCGTATGATTTAATCATTTTACATTTCCAATTAGCGAGTGTGCTTCACATGATAGCTCACTTTAATTTGAAAGTACAGAAACCATTGAATAATTTATTTGATTCATCGGTAATTAATTCACTTGTTACAACCATCATAACGCGTAAAGTTGAGAAGAATCATTATTTTGTTTATTTATGTTTTCGTTAGATCAATCAATACTTTTTTCAAGACATATCTATGAATGCCGATATACCTTGGTATCAAGATGACAGAAGAGATAATTGTCGAGTAGAATTTTTATGTCGCGTTATTACGGCCTCAATGGAGTTTATCCATCAAGAAACTAAAGAGGTGAATAGTCTCAGCTCCGATAAAGCTGTACACTGGATGAGTAAATGCCAGAATTTAGCGTTGTCTTGGAAAATCAGCAGCGACGAATTGAGGATCCACCAAGTTTGTCAAATGTATGTGAATGGATTCGATCGAATAGCTGAAGAAGTAAGTTCAATTTTATATGTATACAATCTCGATTAATTTTAATTCATCGTTAGCCACATTTATGTACTGTTTGAACAACTATTCCAACTCACTGTAACTTTGTGTTTAAATCTTTTAGCCATCAGTTTAATTATTTACGTTGTACTACACTTGTGACTGTATTATAATATTATCATCAAATTTATGTATTTACGTGAAAAAGACGGTTCCTTTAGTTAAATTTCTTTTAAAATTATTATTTTTTGTAGTATCAACGCACACCTCTTAAAATATGTAGTCCCCATTAAAAATTCGTTCTTTTTGTTCTGACATCAGTCTTGCTTGTATATCATGTAAATGATTGAAAATAAATAATTTTTACGTAAATAAATTTGAATATTCTATTTCAGATCGTAATGGCTGTCAACAATTTGGAGAAATTAGGTAACGTCACAATTGCTTATTTTTACTATAACCCTCTAGATTTGTAGTTTCAATTTTTTATTGTCTTCTGCAGCCGAAGATCTTCTTCCAATAGCAGGTGGCCGAATGATGGCTTATTTATCAAGATCGCCTGACATGCTGGAAGAAATATCGAGGATAAGCCCGATGCTCTTGTCATACTTACAGTGTCTTTCATCGGTGAGTAGGAAAATTGCTCATATAGCCTTTATATAAACAATTGATGATTAAAAAAAATGTAATTCTTACAACAGAATTCGCAGAACGTAGTTTTTACAAACTGCTCTAACGAGGACACAATACAGCTGATACAAAAAGTAGTCAGGAATCTTCCCGAAACTCACAATCAATATCGTGTAGCTCAATCGATGCTCGATGCAACGTTTATTTACGAAGTCGACGAACCGCCACAGAATGAGAATTGAAAAAATTCGTTTTTTTTTATTGTTGATATTATCTGTTGAATATATACGCTCGTTGCCAGAAATTAATGGTTTATCTTTTTTCCCCTTAACGGAGATGTGTAGATAGGAAGACAATTGTAGTTTTGTTTCCTTAGAGATATGTCAGAGTATCTCAAATGAAACAGTAAAGGTATAGGTACTTACGATTTGTCATGAAGACTTGGCTGCAGAATAAAGTCGCTCGTTCGGATTGCAGTAGCACAAGTAAGTATCATATATTTTATTATCATTTATATTTAAATTTGTATTTTATCATCAATCACAGCACTTGTAAATAAAAGTATTTAATCAAATAGTTGATCAAAAATTAAAACTAAACAGTCTAATGCGTGCAAATGTATTTCATTATTTTTATTTAATGTTTGTTATTTTAAATTAAAAATTAATTTTTCACGAAACGATGAATAAGAAATGTAATGTTTTCGTACATTTTTTTTCTCTGTTGCAATAAATTATGATTGGTACTGTGATTGCTGTTTCTCAAATGAACTAAAACTAATAGTTTACAAAAACAAAGAGGAAAAGTAACGGGACGCAGTTTGATTTTTGTACCATTTTATTTTGTATAAATCAATCGCGACTCCATTAATAATAATATCAAATCTCAGTTTCTCCTGTTCAGAGACATCATAATATTACATAAGTATATCTACGTTCCAAATAAATCAAAATCTTTCGTACGCTAATCACACTCGGTTCTGTTAATTACATATTTGTATATTATCGTATAATTAGTAATCGTAATTTTAATATCGTCTACCTATAGTTTAAAATACAATTATTTCTAAAACATTCGTTCGCCTATTTCACATGTCAGACATTTTATACAACTTGAAGGTATCTATATATTTATAACTGTACCACTGTGACCATATATTAACAGATGTTTGAGTACGTATACGCAATTAATACATCGGTCACAACGCACATATATTTATACACGTCTAAATTTAAAATCTGTTAACTCAATGGAATAATATGAAGAAAAAAATGTGGTAAACTGTTTTAAATCTATAGGCAAACAAGCCTCAATTGAAGCTCTGGTGAGTTAAAAAATTTTGATTTTGATATTAATTTTTTTTTTTTTCATATTAAAATTGGTATAACTTTGTGTCGCCTACTTTTTAACAAGTGATTTTTCACGACGTGAACAAAAAGTGCGTCGCGCCAACTCTACCTCCCGTTAAAATTCCCTGCTTGTAAATCTATATTTCATAAGAATTTCCACCTAACAATACACTTTCACGTACACCAACAACATACAAACAAATTATTTAATACATGTATGTACAACGCATCGGCTATCATAATATCATATTTTGTCACGAAAAAAAAAAAAAAAAAAAAAAAATCCTCTCTCAAAAGCGAACCTCGAAGCCCTTGTATCCCCGTTTCGTCACGCAGCACAGATCTCTGAACTCGGTGTGGTGTATTTCGCTGTCGGGACTGCCCTTGGTCGACAACCACTCCGCCCTGAAACGAGTAAACAAAGAGATTTTTATTACATGTATAAAAGCATTTCATCTTTTTGCATCATATATTACATTGTTCGACAAATATGCACCCATAGTAATAACATCCATGTAAAGGATCAATTGGGTCAAAAAGCACGCGGACACGCGACGATGAGCGCGATAAGGGAAAAAAAAAAAAAAAAAAAACTTGGTACATAGAAGGATACATGTTGCTCGATATCTCGAGCGCAACTTTATTTCCCAGGGTAAAAACTAACGACGCGCCCCGGAGAGAAAAATAGAGGGGCATTGTTCAACTTTAGCAAAGTAGCACGCGCCCCGACAAGCCGTTATTTACGCCCATCAGCGGTGTAAAATATACATCGGCCACAGCTTGCCCCCCCGGCCATCCAAGGATATATATATTATATACACCTACTACACGTGCTTGTGCAGTTTATAGGATGCAAAAAATATATATATATATATATATATATTGTTGCTATTGGTCTTGGGTACAGTGGATATCGGGCTTGAGGGACCGAAATTTTATACGTCGAGCTTGTAACGATGCAGCTGGCGAGAAAGCTTGCAGAGGCACCTATACACTGCATCGCTCCTCCTACCCCCTACAACGACATTATAATTATAGGCAACGCAGAGAGAGGGAGAGATCGGCTCTACACGATCGGAGTATTTTTACAACACCTGCTTGAATATATACATATGTATATATATAGGTGCACTTTTTAAAGTATACACGCGCGTGTTCTTGCAAATTAGTCTATTATAATATGTAGGTGGGGTTGCCCCTTGAATTCCACCATTTTTTTCATTCGGATCCATCAGGATCGTTTATTGGCTCTTATCGATGCGTGTTTTACTGCAATTATAATTAAATATTAGTTTTTATTTTTTCAATCTTATGTTGTTCACAATTAAGGTGCATCGTAAGTAAACCAACTCAAACGATTACTTGACATAAATAATCGAATCGACGCGTTAATCGTCAACTGTGTTCATTTGACAGTTTCGTATATGAAATTGAAAAAAAAAAAAAAAAAAACAGCCTCCTCGTTGCAATTGTTCGATTAAAGTCCGAGCGGTATAAAATTATTTTTGCAGGCTCATTTTAACGGTACAACCCAAACGAAAGCGACACGCGCAAATCATACATATGATACATCAATCAAAAAGTTTTTGCGCTTTCGGTGTAATTTGTGTGCGCATACGTGTATAATATGTATATACAATATATTGATTGCTCTGCTTTTAAGCATATAATTTACGTTACTATACATCAATGTTGCCCTACAAGACTGAAATATATTGCACCTCAAGGTGGCCATCACGTGATTGCCGTTGATTTCCCTTTCGGGGGGAAGAGCCCGGAAAAATTCGTGCTGCTCGTATTGTTCGCCGCGGTGTACACACACACACGCGCGCGCGCGCGGATGTGCACCAAGGATGCCCTTCTAATTAATCACTTCCGCGCTCTCTCGTTGTAGGTACCTATATACATGTAACTGCCATGCATGCAGCTGGTGTATATTTTATGTATTACGGGACCCACTGTATATATATATACCATTGAGAAAATAACCATGTACGGTAATGCTTGCCGTGAAACTTACCGTGAAAACACAAGAATTTGTACACGATACGATCCCGAAAATAAAGGGGGAGAACAAAATTGCACTTGTCAAATTACGGAGTTTATAATTTACCGTAGTCACGCGGTAAAAATTACAACTTTTTTACTTCAGTGTACCTGTACATATATGGATTAGAGTGCTCCCTTCGAAAAGCACTGCCTCCTACACAATGAAAATTCATTTCGTCCCGAAGGTTGTTTAATTCGTACGTCCGATCTTGCCTGATTCTCTACCCAAGTGCACGGCCCCTCGATGAGCGCAAGTACGATTTTGCTCTGATGATGTACCGTTACGTGTGAAAAAAAAAAAAATAAATAAAATGAAATAAATACAAAAAAGAAAAAAATAGATGATATAATATTATATGCGAATCAACAAAGTGGCCTTGACAAATCTTTTGTTTTCGCCTTCACCGACCGCAAAGTGTAAATATATATATATACATCATCTTGCCATGGGGTCACGGCTGTTAACGACACAAAGGGCAAAAGCTCTCTCCCTCTCTCTGCACGTTATATATCATTATAGGCTCTGACCATCGAAATACAAAAGATATATATATATATATATATATATATGTAATAAAGGAGGAGGAGGAGAGCAAAGAAAATAGATCAGTAGGTCTGGCCGCGCGTATAGAGTGGGCTACTCATCAAAATAACGAGCCGAGTGACGATTGTTAGTTGGACACTCATTTTCTCCTCCTCCTTCTTCTTCTTCTTCTACTTCTCGCTCCATGCCTGCTGCCCCTGCCATTGCTGACGATCTACTAAACATACTATTACGCGTATATGTTATACACACGCTTATATATACTTACTCCTACACGTATATATAATTATAATGCTCTAGCTGATGGAAAATTGTGTGATAGCGCGTCAGCTGTCATCGGTTTGCAAGCTGCGCGATGGCTCGTTCTCCACCACCTCTACTCGGGGTATACTATTTTTGACGATGTTGTTATTATTGTTTGTACCTTAATACTTACGTTTTTGTGGAGACTGAATTTTTTTTCTTATAAGCTTTCGTTCTACATTTTCATTAACAATGGACAATCTGAGATGCACCTATACTGTCGTCTTTTATATTTTTTAGGGTACTCGAGACTAGATTTTTCGGGCATGGGATCCAACGAAATCCAGGGATTGGGTTTTTAAGTTATAAATTCACTGTTGATTATTTAACGCGAAGCTTCCATAAACTTTTTTTTGATCATCCACTTTTAGTTTTTTATTTCTATGTAGAGTTAGGTTCGTTTAAAAATTTTTTACCCACATTATTCAACATACATATGTTATATTCTGAATCTTTGCAACCATGAAAAATAGTTGAAATATGTTGGAGGAGTAAAAAAAAAAAAAAAAAAAAATTACATTCCGATCGAGAATTTATCGACCCACAGTGGGTATACACTGCAGAAGAGAAAAAATGAATCAACGCCGCGGCCAATATTATATCTATTAAAAAATACCTTCGATACTCGGAAAAAAAAAAAAAATGCGCTTTTCACCATGTTCGGGCCAAAGTTGCAAATTAAAGACACACACACACACACCACGGGCACATCATCCACGAAAGTTTTTCCGATTCCCGCCGGCATCAGCGCTCCCGTCAAGAACAAAGTTTATACAATATATAATGTATATATAAATGACCTGACTCCTCGAAAGTTACAGTCCCCGGCCTTTCGGAAAATCCCTCTCTCAGTGCGCCACGTACACTGCCGTACATACAATGCGCCCGTCACCCGCAAAGTCGAGTCAGCCAATTAAAGGAACCGTCGATTTCTCGAGCAAAATCGTTTTCCCTTACTCGCACGGCGTCACTGTCCACCTCGACCCCCTCGAGCTGCAGCTCATTCGTAGCTTTTCGTGTAGGTACGAATTCACACACGCCTAATCTTATCCTTCACCTTCGGACTATTTGAGAGCCAGCACTGTATGTATCCAGATACCCTCGTTCTCGATTGCCGGCATATTACTCGTGCACGCAACACTTTGAATTTCCATTAATGATCAAAATTTCCCGACGTGTACCCTCAACCGCATGTGCGTCTGTCATATAGACTCAATATAATATATGCTCCGTATATACTGCCGCCTCTCGTTCGCGTGAAGCTTGCGAAGGTCGCGCACTCGCACTTGGCTTGGCGTGTACGACACTCACACATATAGGTGCACGTGGTCCGCTGAGCTTTTGTGTACAAGTCACACTCTGAGCTTGCACGCGTGTATATATTATATACATGTACCTGTATGCTGGGCGTTCCTCCTTAAGCTATACATTACCGTGTGCTAAATGGGCGAGCTTTAGAATGCGACCAGCCACCCGGGCAGCACGCCCGAGAACTTTCTTCCCTTTTTTTTTTTCCTCGGACGCCACTGGCGCCTCTGTTGCTCGGACTTCTTTTTCTCCTTTCTCGACAGTTTTAATTCAATTATTTTTTGTACCCGACGGACTTGAACATGTAATTTTTTATTAATTTTACAGCATGTGATGACAAAAAAAAAATCACCGCGTCACAATTTGTTGGACGTTCGTTCGTACAAGTAACGATTACGATTTCAAGAATGAGTAATGTCTGCGTGTCGGTATTCTATACGCAGTGGTTGATCCCAACCAACGCCGGATGATTTTTCCTTTTATCATTTTATTTCATTTTAAAACATTTATTAATACACCTAAGACGTTCCAAATTAAAAAAAACCTTCGTTATTTTGTACTTTGACGTGAAACGTTATCTTTATTACCTTGCGACGAAAATACAATATCTTCTTTAAGATTTCGACAAAAAAAGAAATTTTTTTTTAATTTTTTGATCAAAAATCACTTTATTTTAATTTTTCGATATAAATTATTATTATTCTTTCTTTAAAAAAAAAAAAAAAAATGGTTTCTTAAACTTAAAAATGGTTTCAGCTGTGCTCTGTGAAACTACAAAATTAGTGAATTTAAATTAAAAATAGCACCTGAGCAAACAAATGCTTCCTTGTCATAAGCTATACTTAGATTGAAGAAACATTTGAATAATGTAAAATTTTTAATTAAATTAAATTTGCCGTCCAATAAAAATAATAATATACAGAGTATTTAGCATAAAGAGCGTTGAAAAATGTTTACCGGCGATAAGTGACGAGGGTCATAAATCAGCGAGAACGCGTTGCTCTTGCCAAAATGAAACACTTAAAAACGTATGAATTTCGATTTCCGTGCGCTCAAATGCCAAATCTCGGACGGTGGCTAATCACGTGAACCCATCGGGGAGTTGAATAGATACACTTTTATACGGGCGCTTCCACCTTTCAACATGCTTTTATCATGTATATGTTTGTAACGAAAAACAGCTTGGCAGTGATCTTTTGAATAATTTAAATGGTTGTTTTGTCAAAATAATCGTCATGTCTATAGTTAATGTAGAATAGTGACATTTTTTATCGGAAAATAGGAAAATTGGACCAATGAGTATAATTTTTTTGTTTGCCGTATAGTGCACTGTTGAACATCCATTTTTTTTATTTTAGAGAGTCATAATTGAGGCTATACCTTAAAATAAATGTTGATAAATAATCATTCCAATAACTCATTGGTTTCCGTAAACTTTGTGACATCCATAGTAGCTTCTCTAATACGAATGAGTCAAGAACACTAAAGTTGCTCATACACCTGCGTTGCAAATAGCACCTACATTAAAAATCCAAATAATAATAAAAAAAAAAAAAAAAAGAAATTTAACGTTACATTACACACTCATGTTTTTTAAATCCTTGGTTCATTTGATTTAAAGTCATAAGTAATAAACATGATGGTAGCCACAACTATTAAAGTCAATATGTTACTTGAACGACATTAAAGGTACACTCGAACTAAATATTTCGTCAGTAAGAATACCGCACAAGTATAGCGAAGAGTACCTCGTTAAATCAATGAAATTCAGCTTCATTGGATCCATACGAAATCTTTTCCTGAAAATGTCACCCACTCCGTCATTATCCATTGTATTATTATACATAACGCGCACGCTCGTCTTATCGCGATCGCGCGCCCATTCGACAATGTACAGGTATATACAAGAGGCGTGTGTACACCCATATCTCAGGAAACATCACGATGATCGTACATAAGTGCCGCGAATGGTAATATCAGAGGTAATGGCTAATTGACTTTTCTAAAAGCCGGATAATGAGCCTCCATTCGGCGCGAGGCACCAATCAAAATGATAAAGTCGGGATTTTCCGCATTCATCACACGTGGCAACTAACATTGCATATACTCGGAGCGTGGACTAACCAAGATTTCCCGGATAAAATTGTGACGCTCGAATTTTCAGAGACTTGCACACACCGCGCGTCTACAATTTGTAAACCATAATAATGCCTGTAGATGCGTACTTTTACAATTGCATTTTTTTCTTTCTTTTTTTCTTTTTTTTTTTTTTTTAAATAAAGGTAAATCACCGAGGTCGAATGCACCTATTATTGTAATGCAATACACGTAGACTCGTGTCAATCCGAGAATCGTATTTATAAACGAGACGCGGCGCGTATGTTTATTACGTATTTGGACGAAATTGGGCACAACGCAAATCGTCTGCCAATCTGTCCGTGTGCCTATATATTATGTTGTATACTTAATTGTACGAACCACCGAGAAACAAAGCACAAGTCGGAAGGTGAATGAGACAGAGCCGCATCAGGTGAACGGAATTATATACCAAAGTATAGGTGTTGTGTATACTTACATTTGATCGACGACCGCCTGGGGGCCCTGCATCTTCCCGAGGATCGTGCCGTTTCTGCTGTTTTTGACCCACCCGACGATCCCGAGCTTCAGACACAGCTCGCGCACGTATTTCGTGAAGGAGCAACCTACGGGCAAACACGTGCGTGAACGATGATATCGGTGATACATTTTTTTTTTTTTTTTTTTTTTTTTTCAAAAATTTGCTATACGTGTTATGAAATGGCGTGGACGTCACCGTACAATATAATCGCACGTATAGAAGACGAGTTGTATACACACACTGGGGTGAGATGCGGTGATGAATCTTGGCACGCTTATGCTGTTGCAAAAGTACGTGGTTAATTATGGTGTCGGAGGGGTGTATTGATGGATCGGCGCGGGACGACGTAATTGACGATAACTGGCAAATGGTGCATGCTTACGGTGGCTTATATTAAGCGTAATTTTTTTTTTTTTTTTTCATGCGGAACAGAATATTAAATTGGCTTATTATTAGACGCGCGTGTGTGCGAGTTGAGACAATTTTCCTGATAATAGATGACGTTAAGTTGGTTTAGTTGCTGATGATGGGCTAACCGGTAGTGATCACTCATGGAAAAATGTGGCATTCGTGTGCGTTTAATATACACCCCTTCGTTGATATTCCCCTCGTTAGGTAATACATCCAATCGAGCCGTTTAAAGTACATTTGTTTATTTTCATTGCATTATATCAAAAGCATAATATATAATTATATAGCGATGTTAAATCACGTCTGATCGCGTACGAGCAATTCCACTGATGATCATGGTGTGATTTTTTTATTAAATTTAAATCTTGGTTTTCGAGGGCCTTCGATGACATTTTTGATTAAAAAAAAAACTAAAGTGAAGTAATCAAAATAGAGCTGTCATAGGAAACTTGTCAGTTGAGCCAAATATTAATGTTCGTAGAACTCTTACCTGCAGGTTTAAGCTGAACAAGAGTTAACGAAATGCTCTTTTTTCTTACTTTACTTTATAAGTCTTTAAGTTAATGATAAACTTGGGCTTAAAAAAAGACGCGTTGGCCAATTTTCTCAAATTTTTGATATCACAGACACGGTTCATTGAAATTTTTTCAGAGCTCCCATGACGCACGACGTACACTTGACCTTCGTCTTTGTGAAAAAACTTGAAATCAATTTCCAAAAGATAACTAGGATTGCATCGGTCGTATACGATGTACGGGTAAAAACCAAATGAATAACCGTGCCCGTGAATCAATTTTAATTTATTTTTAAAACACCAACCCCCGACACCCTACCACCAAAACACAAGGCCCACCGATCGCGAGAAGACGTTTGTCGTAACTCACCTTGCACTTTTCCAAACACTTCGAAGTCTACGGACACCAGGGGCTCGTCCGCGAGAGGATCGCCGACCCTCGAGGAGGCCACCGAAGACGCCCTACTCGCCATCGCTCAATGGACTTTGCGACCAACCCTATACCAACGGGCTGACCTACACTGCCGTCCTCGGCGAAAGCCACCAGCTGCCTGCAGAGAGAGAGAGAGACAAAAATATTCTCGTCACCCGACGATACGCTGTATTTTGGCTCGCGCTTCCCCGCTTCGGACGCCAACAACACACTACAACAGATTTTTAAACCGATACTTGTTTTTCTCCGCTTTCTCGCGAAAAAGACGAGATCGGTTGCGGGAGACAGAGAAAGAGAGAAAGGGATAGACAAATGAAACGAAGGAGCTTCGCGCGGAGGAGACCGACTGATTTTCTTTTCGGCGACAGTAGCCCGCCCCGAGCGCGCAATAAATATAGACTCCCCACTTGGATCGATCGGCGATCGGTATCGGGGACCGATTGGCCTTCCTCCCCTTCGATCGATCTTCCGAGATGCCTCACGATCATGATGATCATCTTTTTTTTTCTATTCGCTCTCTGATACTTGTGTATATTTACACCCGGTACGGATTATTCCGCGTCGGACCTTGAATCTCATTTTAAACTTGTCAAGCGCGCGATCGGTAGTATATAGCGTCAAAGTGCGAGTAACGAGGAAACAAATGAGACAAACAAATCATGCGATCCGCTATTGACTAACGTGATTTTACTCGGAGGTGCGGTATCGTTACCTGCGAAAATCTTTTCTCTCGATTTTCCTATGGACGTAGGCATTTTTTTTTTTTTTTTATATCGGTACATACATTTTTGATTTCCCGTGCATACACGTATATCATAAGTCAGTCTCACAATATATATCCCTCGGAGCCAAATCACAATACACGTCCGGGTCCACGTTAGCGGAATTCCATTAAAACTTCCGCGTCCGCAGTATATATACGAGTATAAGGTAATACGTAGTCAACGAGGGAATAATATAGTCGTGGTGGAGGCATATATACATTATACTTACCCATCGGGTGGTGTACGTAAAAAAAAAAAAAAAAAACTTTTCTCGGTGATCCGCTGAAATGATTTTTTCTCCGCTATTGCAACTCCTGTACAATAAAGATGCGGGGCTGATTTTTGTACAAACTATGCGCTCTTACACCGTAACCAGCGCGATATTTGAAAAAATAAAAAAGACCATCAACCCACAGGGTTCGCGTAATATAAGTGCAGGCCACGTGCACTCCGCGGCCTTGTACAGGGAAGAGAGCTTCGGCCGGCGACGAGTCTATTGTATAAAAAAAAAAAAAAAAAGAAAGAAAAAAAAGAAGATGAAAGTATATATATATATATAAGTACACATTATCAGGGTAGATACAGAGATAGGTTTATGAAGCTCCCATTGTCCGGGCGCTATTACCGGCAATTAATAATATAGGTACCGTCGACAGAGACAGCCCCCTCCCCCGTGTTATGGATATGCACGGCCATGGGGGGGGGGATACCGATATATGACCCCCGGCAAAAGAAAAAGCTGCCAAACCAATTCACCAAATACATGCGACATACACGCATTATAATACACCCGAAACGATCATTTGCGTCTTCCTTGGTCTTTCTCCCTACATAGAGTGGAGGTATAACGCATGTACATCACAAATGGTTGTAGTGTAGGTAAGTGTATAATATTATAGGTATACACATATGTGTAGCTTACGGCGCGATATGTGTCCCGCGCCGCGGGCCGGCCGCATTATCATTGTTACGAACCCAAGGTCTCATTCCGTGCTCTGCGTACATATATATACAGGTATATATTGGGGGGAGGGGGGGGTATGGCATTTTGCGCGTATGCTTGTATATAGGTATATACCGCCGGTGCGACTTGTGTCAGGGTTTGGACGTCACGTCGCGAGCCGACACACTTAATGCCCCCGATAGCCGGCCGTGCTTGCAAGCTCTCCGTCGCTCGGATGTGCTCTCTTTCTCCGAGGCGCGTCTTTGTTGCGTCCAAGTTTCGATATATATCCTCGGTTTTTTTTTTGTTTGTTTGTTTTTTTGTTTTTTTTTTCGATGCTCTCCCCAACTTACCTATGCGCGTTGATCACATTCGATGGGGCACTCAAACGTGCATGACTGTGTATCGGATTTTGCAGAGTTTTCACGAGCCAAGGACTGATCACGTGGTCTTCGTAGGATCGGAATTTGCTATTCGATGGGGGGTGGAGTTGAAATAACGACACTTTGCCTGGATGACGTTAAAATTATCTATTTATTGGTACGGAACAAACGAGAACATTATATGTTTCCTTTTTTGTTTTTTTTTAATGTTTTTTCTTCCTCTCCAAAGTAAAATCTTTGTATAGCCCGAATATCGTAAATGTCGTTTCAACGGAAATAAAAACGCAAGTATATGTAACGCAATCGAAGTATATCGTGTACATGTGTATTCGGTCGCACGGCGGCATAATTACCTAGTGACACAATTGCAAAAGTGCGTTGAACTTGAAACGACTCGGGTTTGTTTTAACGAGCGACCATGTAATTACTCACGGAGATATTTTTCTTTCTCCCAAACACAAGTACGACGATTCGTATATGATTTTGTTTTTCTTACTTTTATAATTATTATCAAGCAACACTTACACTCCGAATATTGATTTATCTTGCTTTTTTATCATTTTTTTCTTATTTTCAATCACAACACACTCGATCGGCATTATGTCTATACATCATGACTTCCGGTAATACTATAATATTACACACGCGATTTGCAAGTTAGGCACTTGCAAACGGAACACTTTACATTTTTATTTTATTGTTATTTCACATAGTCGTATACCTATATAACTATACTACATTTATGCAAGTATATATAAGCGGAGAAATGAGTAATTTAGCCAAAATTTATTTAGAGCTAATAAGTATTTCGACAAGTTGGCGATTCGACCTAGTCTCCTTTTTCACCCTACTTTGGTATCTTATACGTATAGTAGTTAGCGTAAAATATTTCCAATAGTTATTGGACTGGCAATATTTTTCTATATATGTTTATTTTTTTTATTTATTCATTTATTATTTTTTTTTTTTTTTTT